GCCCTAGATCACACGCAACATATTTAGTATTTGGTGCTGAATCCTATACTACATTCCATTCAAGACCACAATCATCATGCGCGTGATTAACTTTGTGAGTACTCCCACATTCATGTAAAGCTAGATATATTAGTGGAAACAAAATCACATTTTTGTTCTGATCGTTCTCTTAGGCTAAATTGAATATGGTCATGTGTTATTGGTTTTCCTTTGGAGTTTTCACAATCATTTTTAAAGAAGTAAATGTGATTTGGACTTTGTATTAATATACTATTTTGCAATTTTGTACTATTATTTTTTGGAATATCTAGAATCAAGAGTTATATTTTGTGAGGCTTTTTTGAACTTATACACCAATCCTACTAAACTTGATCTGAAAATAAAATATTTACACGTAGATATCACTTCACTTTAAATTACAAAATTAAATTTATTCAAAACCATATTTTGCAAAACCCAGCCCAAACACATATATATGTGCAGTAAATTAATGGTAATTCAATGATTTCGTGACCGAATGTTATTATGTATTGTCTAAGTCTTGTGATTGTGATAGGATGATACATATTAGAATGGAAAAAACAAATATTTTCACCCATAATTTTTCACATTTGTTTATTGTTTGTCTCATTCACGTTAATGCAAAATTTAGTGATTGTCTGACGACTCTAACATAATGAGAAAGGTTATAAAATCACTTTGGCATATATCAAACGTCTTTCCAACTATTGATATGAAAGTCACTAAAATTTTGTTAAATATATAGACTTTTATGTATGAATAGATAGAGTATTATTCAAACGAACCTTAAAGCTTGGATCTTACAATTATATTTTTTGTAGGCATGACAATATAAAAAAATGATATATTCTTTTGATAAAACTAATTATAAATTAATATAAACATATAAGAAAATGACATGTATGATATGTTGATATTTTTCTACTTAACAACTGATTGACATAAATACTTTACACATAAGCATGCAATTCAGAACAAACCGATCAATTGATATTGTTTCAAATTTACTATGGGTGGAAAATGAGTGAAGTAAATACCGTAATTGAAGTCGATCACCAAATTTGGTGTATTATCTTTAATTGAAAGGGTTGCTATCATTCTACGTCATAATTGAATTCAGCATTAATGTGTTTAATCATTTTTTCATGAAAACCTTTTGCATGAGATTTTCTTGCTCCATCCCAATCTCTGAGTAGATAGCGAACGTGTTATTAAGTATTAACCAATGTTCGACCAATCTGCTGCACTGCACGTCCTGATCAAACTTCATACCAGAAAATGAAGATTAATGAGATTGATTATGGTAGCATTTTGGAAGACAATGTATCTTGTGGAAATGGAACAATAAGGAACACATTAAATTACTATTTCATGCCATTCAATTATGTTACATTGAAAATAGAAACATACAGCATCATCACGTTTTTTTTTTTTTTGGCTTTTGTTGGGGGATGGAGATCACCTATGCCGAATATTGTTTCATATCTTATCATAAACCAATCACAATGTTACTTTTTGTTTTTAAAATTTTTCTTTTATTCATATAGTAATATATCATTGACCCGAAAGAGATAATGATACATTGTTAGAAAAATAAGATCTCTATCATTTATTTGGTGGGTTTTATATTCTAGGTATTCTACATTCCTCTTTTTTCTATCTCCTATATATTGGTTTCTTTGATATTCTCAATAAAATATTTTATTTATAAAAAAAACTACTTAATGAATGACTGACTTACTTATTTACTGAATGAATGACTAAATGACTTACTTACTGAATGACTGACTGAATGACTTACTTATTGATTTGCTGACTAACTTACTGAATGACTTACTTACAGAATGACTGACTTACTTACTTATTGAATGACTTACTGTCTTACTGAATGACTTACTTACTGAATGACGACTAACTTACTTACTTACTGAATGACTGACTGACTTACTTACTGAATGACTTACTTACTAAATGACTTACTTACTGAATGACTTACTTACTTACTTACTTATTGAATAATTGACTGACTTACTTACTTAATGAGTGACAGGCTTATTGACTGACTTACTTACTGAATGACTTACTTACTTACATACTGAATGACTGACTGACTTACTGACTTACTTAATGACTGACTTAGTTACTGAATGACTGACTTACTTACTTACTGAATGACTGACTGACTTACTTGCTGAATGACTGACTTACTTACTGAATGACTGACTGACTTACTTACTGAATGATTGACTGACTTACTGAAAGACTGACTGACTTACTGACGGACTTACTTATTGAATGACTGACAGACTAACTTAATGGCTGACTAACTTACTTACTGAATGACTGACTAACTTATTTATTGAATGATTGACTGACTTACTTACTGAGTGACTGACTGACTTACTTACTGAATGACTTACTTACTGACTTATTAACTGACTTACTGAATGACTTAGTTAATGAATGACTGATTGACTTACTCACTGAATGACTGACTGACTTACTTACTAAATGACTTACTGAATGACTTACTGATTGACTTAATGAATGACTGATTGACTTACTGAATGATTGACTAACTTACTGAACGACTCACTAACTTACTGACTGACTTACTTACTCACTAACTTACTGACTGACTTAATGACTGATTTACTAACTTACTGAATGACTAACTTATTGACTTGTGAAGAAGATCTTGCTCCTGATCTTGGCACGATTTTGATGAAGACACCAATATCACAAAAAGAAGAAAGGAAGAAGACCTACAAAGACTATCGAAGACAAAGCTTCAAGATTTAGAGTCTAAGTCTTTAGGTACTTCTATCCTCACAACTCATTTATTTACTTAGTTAATAATGCTCAAAATTGTTTTTAAGAAAATCAGAAAAATCTAAATGTGAATAAAAATAATTTTAAAAAACAACATGTAACGGATTACCATACTTGAGTAACAAGTTACATGAGTGAGAAAAGAGTTTTCAAACCTCTAACAGCTATGAGTAATCCATTACTGACTTTGGAGTAACAGATTACCATTTTTAGAAAACAGGGTAATCGATTACTCAAAGTAGTGTAATCGATTACACTAAGGCAAATTCACAAAGCTGTCAAATAGTGTAATTGAGTAATCGATTACTCAAATCCAGTAATCGATTACACCGTGTGAATTTTCAAAAAGTTGTTAACATGATCGATTACCCACTTACAGTAATCGATTACTGAGAGTTGTTGTATCAGTTTTCAGATTTCAAGTGAAACGGTTTCACTCCAAACTGATTATTTTTCATTCCAAACGAAACCTACTCATACCTAGGGGTACTATGGTTGATTGGGAGCCTATATAAAGGCATTGAAACACTCTCACAACAAACAACAACATATACAACTCAGATTACAAACTTTTATTTGAAACTCTAAAAAAAGCTCTCACTTTCTGATTTTTGTTACACTTCAAGCAACCTACTCTCAAACTTTCAAAGTTATTTTGAAGTTGCTTCTAAGTGTATTTCATACTTTCAAAAATAGCATTATTATCTTAAGTATAAGAGTTGTTGTTGGATTGCAAGTTATAGAAATTGTCATATACACTTGTAAGGCAATCCAAGCCAAATTGTACATTCTTCACTTTTGCAAAGTTTACTTTCTTTCACAAGGGTGTGAAGAGAAAGAGGTTGAGTGACTTGGTATAGTGTTTATCAAGGGTGTAACTTGGTATAGTGTTTACCAATGGTGTGACTTGGAATAGAGTTTTCCAAGGGGATTAGATATAAGTGAGTGTGCAAGGTACAAGGAGATCTCGGGTGAGATAATTGTAATTGCAATTCATTATATTTAATAAAGGAATCTCTTGCGCGTCAAGAGTACTAGACGTAGCCTTTGGTGGACAAGAAGGTGAACCAGTATAAAACACATGTGTACTCTCTTTCTCTTCTCGTTGTTAATTTTCTATCATTCCTAGTCAATATTTTTCTGCATAATATTTCCGCAGCACATTAACTTTGATATTGCAAAAAAATTGGCCGTGCTTATTGTTGCGCCCGGATTTTCGGCCACGCGACCTCTTGAGGAGTCGCCACCACGTCTTTTGCGGTTAAAACGTGGAAAACTCGAATTGTGCCCGAATTGGATAAAATTGGTCTTTTAAACCAGAGTCGTGAGTTCGGGAGTCGATTACGAATCGGGAAAGGTATTAGCACCCCGTTCGCCCGTTATAAAACGGTACCCTAACTAATTGCATGCTTTTAATTTACCCTTATTTATTAAAATTAAATTGATTAAAACGAAATGTTTGTTTTTTACTTTTGTGTCTGACAAGAGTTTATCTTGCTCCTACGTATCCCTAGGTGCAATAGGGAAATCAAGACTACGTAGTTCTTTAAGAAAATCGTTTGTTAGTTTGGTTTGATTAAAAATTGTTTTATTGAGAGTTATTAAAAAAATGGTTTGAGTTTAATTGAGGTGAGACTAATAGACGACGAGTCAACATTGATTGCTTACCCTCTTTTCACTTTGATAAATAGCAGAGGCAGTAGAAATGACCGCGACCGGTTCTCGGCTCGAAGTGAGGAGAAATATGTAATATGAGTTGTAACCTCGCTATTGAATCCCAAAAATACTTAAAACGTTTTTATAACTTAAAAGAACTTTTTGAAGAGATAAAGTTTATTAGTTAAAAGTTGATGTTGGTTATTACTTACTTCGATAAATAATAGAAGTAGTACAAATGACCGCGACCGATTCTCGGCTCAAAAGTAAGAATTAAGATATAATACTAGTCCTAACTTCACTATGAAGTATTCATAAAATTATTTTCACGTGGTACCATCAATGTTTTTTTATTATAAGTAATATCACAAACTTTATATAATAATAAATAAATAAAAACTAATAGTTTATAAATTAACAAATAATGTATGGGTTGATTATAATATTCTAAGCCCAAAAAATAACATGGTGCCTAGCAGGTTGGAAATAAACCAAAGGAAAGGAAATTAGGTTTTACGATTTAGGATTTGGGGAGATTGGAAAAAATGGAAGAGAGGGTCTGCTGCTTGAAGATGGCGGCCATGGCTTGGTTGGAGAAGCGTCGCCAGTGGCGGGAGATGAAGCACGTCCTCGCCTGGACGTGACTGGGCCGAGGATAACGACGTCTTCCATGGCTCCAACGGCGAAGACAGGGGGTATGGTGGTTTATGGGTTCCGGGTATGTCTCCAGCAAAGCCTAAGGCTTCTTTCAACAGTGGGTTTTCGACCAAGGTAGACTGCATTGGTCTATTAATGGCTTTTTTTAATATATGAATACAATGTCGGATTACCCGAGTGTCACCCGGATTGATTATGAATATTTGCATGGTGAATCTCTTTTAGAATCTGTTTTAGGGATTATGAGTTGAGTTTTACACCATTAATTGATTGAGATTATATACTGCTTATGTTTAGCCATTGCAAGAAAAGCTTATGAATGTATAGAATTGTGATGGGTATGACCTTAGTATAAGCAATGATTAGAGAGATTGTATGTGATTAATATTAAGTATGTGAGTGATATAACAGTGAGAAAGGATGTTTTATGAATGCATTAACAATGAGGAGTATGTGATTAATTTTATATGGAATGCATTAACAATGATGTTATATGAAAGCTTTTTAAGGATGTGGTAAAGATGATAACCTGGTCTCGCCTGCTAAAAATCCTTTTATCATCCTTTCCATCTGCAATGATTGAATTTCCTCATTGCTATCCCCTTTTTACAGATACATCTCACTTGACCTTGATTATATGACTTTTAAATCAAGTGAGCATCTGTGACTGAATTGCCTTTTTTGTGTATGTTCATGGGATCATGGGTTGTTGTGTGTGCTGTTTCTGGATTTGTTGTGGTTGAGAGAAGAAATGGAAGATTTGTGGATTAATGTTAGAAGCCTTTTGATTGTTGTGATTTCTTTGAGGGTAATGGTAATATGGTTACTGGGTTTGAAGGAATTATGGGTTGAGAATGGTTGTGCTTTCCTCCTTTTAGGTGTTGGTTTCTGTCTATCTTTTGTTGAGTTCTGTGTGTCTATGTCTGGTGTTTATTTGTGTGTATTTAATTTCTCCCCCCGTATCTCTAAGTTATTCTTGCTCTATATATAGATTATAATGTTTTCAATATTTCCCTTTTCAATTTCCTCTTTTTTTGGATTCATTTCCATATTTGCAATTTCTTTTCTTAATTGACAATCAATACGTTAATGTCTCTCCTTTATGCTATGATTTTATTTCCACTTTCATTCTAATTTCCTTATTGATATCCTCTTTTTATGTTATGCTAATTATTGTCTATAAATGCTGATTATCGCCTTAATGATGTTTTGTTATTGATTTGATTTTCCTTCCTTTTCAGGGATTGAATGTGGTCTATATTTAAGCCAAAAGAGGTGGTATATGTGCGGAATGTGGGGGGAAACTTCTTACTAACATAATAGGGTGTAGTTAATGGAGAAAATCCGTTATCTCCTTTAGTGACTGGATATGTTTTTTTTTATGGCCAAAAGATGCACGGCTTAGCTATTGTAATTTTATCGCTTGAATTTGGCATAATGCTTATCGTGTGAATTAATGGATTGATTTGCATAATTGAAGTGTAATTATTGTATTGGTTTAAATTATTGTATTATCAATTGTTGTCTTTATTTCTGTATATCAAAAGTTGTAACAACACTAATTTTTAAACTTGTGTAATTGGGGGATAAATACATTGATATTGTTACTTATTTATTTGAGAATATATATTTTTATTGGGTACTCACACTTATTGCAACAACTAATTCACTCCCACTTAGTTGCAATCTCATTCTTACATGACTGACTTACTGAATCACTAACTTACTGACTGGCTTACTGACTAACTATATGACTGACTTACTGACTCACTAACTTACTGACTGAATTACTGACTCACTAACTTACTGACTAACTTACTTACTTACTGAATGACTAATTTACTGACTCACTAACTTACTGACTCACTAACTTACTGAGTGACTCACTGACTAACTTACTCAATGACTAACTGACTGACTTACTGACTCACTAACTTACTGACTGACTTACTAACTTACTGAATGACTGACTTACTGACTCACTAACTTACTGACTTACTGACTGACTTACTGACTCACTAACTTACTGACTTACTAACTTACTGACTTACTAACTTGCTGACTTACTGACTTACTGATTGACTTACTAACTAACTTATTGACTGACTTACTGACTTACTAACTTGCTGACTTACTGACTTACTGATTGACTTACTAACTAACTTATTGACTCACTTACTTACTTACTAACTTACTGAATGACTAACTTACTGACTCACTAACTTACTGAGTGACTTACTAACTGACTGACTGACTAACTTACAGAATGACTAACTTACTGAATGACTTACTGACTCACTAACTTACTGACTAACTTACTTACTAACTGACTAACTGACTTACTAACTTACTGAATGACTCACTTAATGACTCACTAACTAACTGACTGACTCACTAACTTACTGACTGACTTACTGACTGATTGACTTACTAACTTACTGAATGACTAACTTATTGACTGACTTACTGACTGACTAACTGACTTACTAACTTATTGACTTACTAACTTACTGACTAACTGACTTACTGACTCACTAACTTACTGAATGATTTACTTACTTACTTACTAACTTACTGAATGACTACCTTACTGACTCACTAACTTACTGAGTGACTTACTGACTGACTGACTAACTTACTAACTTATTGAATGACTAACTTACTGACTTACTAAGTCACTAACTTATTTACTGACTCATTAACTTACTGACTAACTTACTGAGTGACTAACTTAATGACTGACTTACTGACTCACTAACTTACTTACTTACTTACTTACCGACTGACTGACTTACTTACTTACTAACTTACTGACTGACTGACTTACTGACTGACTTGCTGACTTACTTACTGACTTACTAGCTTAATTACTGACTTACTGATTGACTTACTAACTCACTAACTTACTGGCTAACTTACTGGCTCATTAACTTAATGATTGAATTACTATCTGACTGACTTACTAACTTACTGAATGACTCACTTACTGACTGACTTACTTGCTCACTAACTTACTGACTGACTTACTGACTCACTAACTTACTGACTGACTTACTAACTTATTGAATGACTAACTTATTGACTGACTTACTGACTCACTAACTTACTTACTGATTGACTGACTTAATAAATTAATGAGTTACTAACTTACTCATTGACTGACTTACTGACTCACTTATTGGATTACTAACTTACTAACTGACTTACTAACTTACTAACTTACTGAATGAATAATTTACTTATTGGCTTACTGACTCACTAACTTACTTACTGACTTACTAACTGAATTACTGACTCACTAACTTACTTATTGAATTAATGACTAACTGACTAAGTAAGTCAGTTAGAAAATAACTTAGTCGGTCAGTAAATCAGTCAATAAGTTTGTCATTCAGTAAGTAAGTACATCAATAAGTTAGTAAGTCAGTCAGTTAGTTATTCAGTAAGCTAGTAAGCTAGTGAGTCAGTCAGTAAGACAATAAATAATTCAGTAAGTTAAACAGTAAGTAAGTCAATTTTATATCAGTCAATAACTAAGCTAGTAAGTCAGTCAGTTAGTGAGCAAATAATTCAGTTAGTAAGTAAGGCAGACAGTCGGTAAGTCCATAATTAAGTCAGTTAGTAAGTGAAGAAGTCAATTAGTAAGTTATTCAGTAAACCAGTAAGTCATTCTTTAAGTATGTCAGTAAGTCAATCAGACAGTAAGTAAGCTAATAAGTCAGTTAGAAAATAACTTAGTCAATCAGTAAATTAGTCAATAAGTCTGTCATTCAGTAAGTAAGCACATGAATAAGTTAGTTAGTAAGTCAGTCAATAAGTTATTGAGTAAGGCAGTAAGTCAGTGAGTCGGTTAGTATGACAATAAATAAGTCAGTAAGTAAGTCAATTATTAAGTCAGTCAATAAGTGAGCTAGTGAGTCAGTCGGTTAGGACATATAATTCAGTTAGTAAGTAAATAAGTCAGTAAGTAAGTCCATAAGTAAGTCAGTTAGTAAGTGAAGAAGTCAGTTAGTAGGTTATGCACTAAGTCAGTAAGTCATTCTTTAAGCATGTCAGTAAGTCAGTCATATAGTAAGTGAGCTAGTAAGTCAGTCAGAAAATAACTTAGTCAGTTAGTAAATCAATCAATAACTTTGTCATTCATTAAGTAAGTACATCAATAAGTTAGTTAGTAAGTCAGTCTGTAAGTTCTTCAGTAAGCCAGTAAGTCAGTCAGTAAGTTCTTCAGTAAGCCAGTAAGTCAGTGAGTTAGTTAGTAAGACAATAAATAAGTCAGTAAGTCAGTCAGTAGGTTAGTCAGTAAGTAAGTCACTTATTAGTTCAGTCAAAAAGTGAGCTAGTAAGTTAGTGAGCAAATAATTTAGTTAGTAAGTAAGTAAGTAACTCAGTCAGTTCATAAGTAAGTCAGTTAGTAAGTGAAGAAATAAACAAAATAATTTCAATCGACAGAGTAAAGTAAAAATGTGCAAAATTATTAAATTTAAACATGAAATAAAACCAATCTCAAAAACTTCAAAATAAAATATTTACTTTTAAAAATATGAAAAAACAATTTCTGAATTGCTGTAAATGGAATATAAAGCACATTTGAATAGATGAATATAATCATATCTCAGTTAAAAAAATTAAAGTAATTAATTCTATTCATAAGATTTTAAAATTAAAAAATTATTTTAGGAACATTAATTCAAACCTTTAATTTCAGAATTCAGCTTTATAAAGTTAATCTGTAAAATAACTATTTTTTAAAATAAATGGAATTACTATAAGTGGTATATAGGAGTATAGAACATGTTTAAGTAGAAGGATCGGATAAGATCAAATTATTGTTAAACATTCTATTTTAAATCATTAATTACAATTATCTAATTTAAAAATTAAAATAAATAAATAAAATAATTAGAAACATTAATTAAAACCTTTGATTTCATTTTAAATTTTAAAATATGACATATTGAATTGAAAACCATACCTATAATTATTTATATTAAATCATAACTAAATGATGAATAAAAATATCAATAAGATGTTGATTTAGTGGGGTAAGCCCATTTAGATTATCACACATGTTAAAAGTCAAAATTTTGATTCATCGCAGTTTTATTTATTGGACGTGACACACATGCATACCAAAATAAATTAGTTCATTATTCACAAGATAATAAAATATAGTTGATTATACCAAAAAAATGGAGTATATGAATGACAAGATAAAGTGTAATGATAAAATCAATTTATGGTTGAAACTTGTATCAAATTTAAATCACTAATTCTAAACTTTTAATTTCAAATATAAAATAATAAATTATGTTTTTAAAATAATAATAGTAAAATATTATTTTCATAATGTAAATAAATTGATTTAAATGTTATATAAGACACTTAAATATTAACATTTAAGGCTCATCTAGATCCTTAGATAGGTCAAAAAGTCAAATATTTAATTCATCGGAGTGTCATTTGTTGGAAGTGACACACATGCATACCAAACTAAATTAGATCATTATCTATAACATAAGAAAATATAGTTGATTATACCAAAAAAATGAAGAATATGAATGACAAGATAAAGTGTTATAATGAAATCAATTTATGGTTGAAACTTGTATCAAATTTAAATCATTAATTCTAAACATTTAATTTAAAATAATAAATTGTGTTTTTAAAATAATAAAATAGTAATATTATTTTCATAATTTAAATAAATTGAATTAAATGTTATATAAGACAATTAAATATAAATATTTAAACCTCATCTAGATCCTTAGATAGGTCAAAAAGTAAAATATTTGATTCGTTAGAGTGTCATTTATTGGAAGTGATTCGCATGCATACCAAAATAAATTTGCTCATTTTCCACAAGATAATAAAATATAGTTGATTATACAAAAAAAAATTGGAGTATATGAATGACAAGATAAAGTGCAATAATGAAATCAATTTATGATTGAATCTTGTATCAAATTTAAATCATTAATACTAAACATTTAATTTCAAATTTAAAATAATAAATTTTTTTTAGAATAATAATACAAATATTATTTTCATAATTTAAATATATTACTTTAAATGTTATATAAGACACTTAGATATTAACATTTAAAGCTCATCTAGATCCTCATATAGATTAAAAGGTCAAATATTTGATTCATCAAAGTGTCATTTATTGGAAGTGACATATATGCATACCAAAATAAATTAATTCATTATTCACAAGATAAACAATTATAGTTAATTATACCAAAAATGGAGTATATGAATGAGAAGATGAAGTGTAATAATGAAATCAATTTATGGTTGAAAATTGTATAAAATTTAAATCATTAATTTTAAACATTTAATTTCAAATTCAAAACAATAAATTATGTTTTTAAATAATAATAATAAAATATTATTTTAATAATTTAAGTAAATTGCAATAAATGTTATATAAGACAATTAAATATTAATATTTAATGTTCATCT